ACAGAAAAAAACACAGAAAACGCGCTCAGCTCATTATCGCTAACAGCACACTTAATCAATGTCCTCTGGCTCCTTTACGCTAAGGCAAGCATCCGAGTTCACTTTGTCTGAGAAAGGAGTTCAAGGCCAAGCTAAATGCAACACATATTCCTTGCATGCCGGCGCAACAACTGACACCCATCCACAATGAATGCAATACAAACACATTAGTTCCAACAAGCGAAAAACGTCGTCATATATATCTTGAGGTTATCTTGAGATGATTTCGGGGCTTTAGTGTCCCCGCGGCCCGGTCCTCGAACAGGCCTCCACCCCCAGGAAGCTGCCCGTGACAGCTGACTAACACCCAGGTACCTATTTTACTGCTAGGTTTTACTGCTATACCTTGACGTCACGTCGTCAAGGTATAGTGATAGCTTCTCACCCCCCTCCCCAACCTTCACCCTTCCCGGGCAAAACTGGACAAATTACATTGGTATAACCATAATCTATGTTAATAACATGGACTCATTGAAGGACTGAAGGAAAGATCCAATATTTACAATGTTTGCAATGAGACCATTGTATACAGCACCTTGAGAGAGGATGTAGGTTACATACGAAAATTTGTTTCTAATACACGTAAACACAAACTGAGTTTTTCCTTCACCTTCATTCAATCACTACGGCACTGTGTTAAGGTTCTCCATTGATCCAATGTTGAATAAAAGTTACTGGAGAATGTTTTGTCCACTTGGTTTATCAGTTACATGTTCCTATAACGTGAACTACAGCCCATAGTTCACACCATAACACCGGTGACATGTAGCATTCACATAAAGCTACACAATCTTACCCTTCGCTTGCCAAGAAGCACAATGAGTCCAGAGAACACACGCAGGCGATGAGTCACAATAACGTGGCCGAAGTATGTTCACCAATCCACACACTAGAAAATGAAGGGACGACGACGATGTTTCGGTCCGTCTTGGACCGACAATCGACTTGAGAATGGTCCAGGACGGACCGAAACGTCGTCGTCCCTTCATTTTCTAGTGTGTGGATTGGTCAACAGAGAACACACCTATATGGAAAATCGAGGTGCTGGCCTTCAGTTCAAAGCATCCATTCCTAGCCAGTGATCCGCAGGTTGCTATGCACTTCCCTCTGTCACACGCCCAGTCAGAATCATATGAACCTATGACCGGGCTACACTCACGGTCGTTTCAGGACGACATTCTCACATATAGCAGGCCACAGCCGGCCCTAACAGCTGCTGGCGATGGAGACCCTGCATACACCCAACAGCCTCGCCAACTGGCCCTCATGGGCCCCTCCTTCACTTTATCGAAAATTCGGTCCACCTGCGCTTCGTCAAATCGCAATTTCGGCTCCGCAAGGGGTTTTGTGCTCGATGTGTTTTTAACACAAGCCTTTGTAGACGACATATTAATCCACCAGTGTCCCCAGCCGCCTTGTTGTAAAGCTGGGCAGCGACATACAAACTCAAATGGATATTAGCTTACATCACCTCGTCCTCTCCTTCCCCCTGAGCGTGACCCGCATGCCTTCGTGTCTTCACGGATTGCTGGTTTTTATTCCTTACCATTTCTTGATGATTATTAATACTGCTGAAATACTATATTTTAATAAATGATTAATATATATATATATATATATATATATATATATATATATATATATATATATATATATATATATATATATATATATATATATATATATATATATATATATATATATATAACCGCATGGGAAACTAAATTCTACTCACTTTCGTGTATTTAAGACAATATTACGGAATACAACACGATGAGAGAGGTCCAGTGGTGAGAATACACGCAATGACTGACAGACTAATCGAGAGATGACATAACTCGACCAGCAGGGCACCTGAAACTAGTCTGGTGAAGGGAAGGAAAAAAGGAGTGTATAGAAGGAAACTTATCCCCCATAAGTAGACATGCAGGAGAAGGAGAGTTAAGGAGCGAGGGAAGATAACAGAACGGTGTACTAGGAGTAAATGTATTAAAGAAGAAAAGCAATATGGGAGGATTAAAGCTCACCTCCCTATCTCATAAAGATCACACCATAACCTTTCCTCCCTGTTACCCTGTTACCTAGCAGTAAATTAGGTACCTGGGTGTTAGTCAGCTGTCACGGGCTGCTTCCTGGGGGTGGAGGCCTGGTCGAGGACCGGGCCGCGGGGACACTAAAAAAGCCAGATAGATAACCCCACCCACCCCCACAAAACACCCACCCCCCTCCCCTCGCTAATACACAACACACACCACAAAACACTCCCACACCCCCTCCTCTCTCCGCTAATACACAACACACACACCAAACTCCAGTAATGACCCACAGGGAGAGACAGGCAATAAGTGACAGCTATAAAACTCTGGCGACTCATCCCTTCTTTCCCCTCTTTTGAACCACTCAAATTGTACACAAATTTTTTGAGCCCGCCTCTCCCCCTCTAGAGAGTCCTCCTCTACCCTCTATATCCCTTCTCTCCCCTCTAGAGCCCTCCTCTTCCCTCTGCACAATACAAAACTGAGCCCCCTGCTTGTCCCTGAAGCATTGCACAATACAAAAGAGGTCCCCCCTGCTTTGCCCTGAAGCATTAAATAGAATAAAAAGCCCCGTTATAGCACTCAGATCATAAATAAAGCACTCACACGGAGCATGAATAAAGCACTCACACGGAGCATGAATAAAGCACTCACACGGAGCATAATGAAGCACTCACACGGAACATAAATGAAGCACTCACACGGAACTTAAATGAAGCACTCAAACGGAGCATAATGAAGCACTCACACGGAACATAAATGAAGCACTCACACGGAACATAAATGAAGCACTCACACGGAACATAAATGAAGCACTTCGGCCTCCCCCCCCCCCGCCCACACTCTGACTCTCATCAGCGGGCCGTGGAATAATTTAACATTACTCAGCTATTACCCTTAATCATATTAACGTTAACTTGACGGACGACCAGGGGAGTCTGGCGCCAGAAATAGACTCGGGAATGAGAAATGAATCGGCTGACTGGTTCGGTAATTTACATGGCTATAGGGCCGGGCGCGTGTGTGACGCAAGGTCAGCTCTACGGACGGGTGTTTGTGTGACGCAAGGTCGGCTCTACGGACGGGTGTTTGTGTGACGCAAGGTCAGCTCTACGGACGGGTGTTTGTGTGACGCAAGGTCAGCTCTACGGACGGGTGTTTGTGTGACGCAAGGTCAGCTCTACGGACGGGCGCTTGTGTGACGCAAGGTCAGCTCTACGGACGGGTGTTTGTGTGACGCAAGGTCGGCTCTACGGACGGGTGTTTGTGTGACGCAAGGTCAGCTCTACGGACGGGCGCTTGTGTGACGCAAGGTCAGCTCTACGGACGGGTGTTTGTGTGACGCAAGGTCGGCTCTACGGACGGGTGTTTGTGTGACGCAAGGTCGGCTCTACGGACGGGCGCTTGTGTGACGCAAGGTCAGCTCTACGGACGGGTGTTTGTGTGACGCAAGGTCAGCTCTACGGACGGGTGTTTGTGTGACGCAAGGTCAGCTCTACGGACGGGTGTTTGTGTGACGCAAGGTCAGCTCTACGGACGGGCGCTTGTGTGACGCAAGGTCAGCTCTACGGACGGGTGTTTGTGTGACGCAAGGTCAGCTCTACGGACGGGTGTTTGTATGACGCAAGGTCGGCTCTACGGACGGGTGTTTGTGTGACGCAAGGTCAGCTCTACGGACGGGTGTTTGTATGACGCAAGGTCGGCTCTACGGACGGGTGTTTGTGTGACGCAAGGTCGGCTCTACGGACGGGTGTTTGTGTGACGCAAGGTCGGCTCTACGGACGGGTGTTTGTGTGACGCAAGGTCGGCTCTACGGACGGGTGTTTGTGTGACGCAAGGTCAGCTCTACGGACGGGTGTTTGTGTGACGCAAGGTCAGCTCTACGGACGGGTGTTTGTATGACGCAAGGTCGGCTCTACGGACGGGTGTTTGTGTGACGCAAGGTCAGCTCTACGGACGGGTGTTTGTGTGACGCAAGGTCGGCTCTACGGACGGGTGTTTGTGTGACGCAAGGTCGGCTCTACGGACGGGCGCTTGTGTGACGCAAGGTCAGCTCTACGGACGGGTGTTTGTATGACGCAAGGTCGGCTCTACGGACGGGTGTTTGTGTGACGCAAGGTCGGCTCTACGGACGGGCGCTTGTGTGACGCAAGGTCGGCTCTACGGACGGGTGTTTGTGTGACGCAAGGTCGGCTCTATGGAAGCTGTAAATGACTTTTTATTTCCTGCTACTAGCGGTGTAAGACCACATCTCACGAACACGCTTACTTTTCCTGCTGGTATCCTCCCTCCTTTCCCTTCCCCCCCCCCCTCTCTCTCTCTCTCTCTCTCTCTCTCTCTCTCTCTCTCTCTCTCTCTTCCCTCCTTCCCCTCCATTCTCTTTTTTTCTACCGTTTCCTAATGTCTTTTCTCCTACGACCCACCGACGATCTAATGTAATAATCTTCCCAGAATTTGTTGGCAAACAAAAATTGAAATTGTTAAATTAATTCAGGCAAAAAATCACATACACTTTTAGACGGCTTCCATTTCTTTACCGCCGGGAAGGATTTCCGATGCAGAATACTGAAGTAATGTCCCCAAGATGAAACTTGGCGGCTACACAAACTTGAAATGATCGTCTTGAAATTTTTGGTCGGCAAGCACTCGCCCCTCGCCCCGTCGACATCATTGGTCCTGCCCGTCGATACGGTGGGTCCTGCCCGTCGACACGGTGGGTCCTGCCCGTCGACACGGTGAGTCCTGCCCGTCGACACGGTGAGTCCTGCCCGTCAACACGGTGGGTCCTGCCCGTCGACACCATTGGTCCTGCCCGTCGACACCATTGGTCCTGCCCGCCGACACCGTTGGTCCTGCCCGTCGACACGGTGAGTCCTGCCCGTCAACACGGTGGATCCTGCCCGTCGACACGGTGAGTCCTGCCCGTCAACACGGTGGGTCCTGCCCGTCGACACCATTGGTCCTGCCCGTCGACACGGTGGGTCCTGCCCGTCGACACCTTGGTCCTGCCCGTCGACACCATTGGTCCTGCCCGTCGACCCGGTGGGTCCTGCCCGTCGACACGGTGGGTCCTGCCCGTCGACACGGTGGGTTCTGCCCGTCGACACGGTGGGTCCTGCCCGTCGACACGGTGGGTTCTGCCCGTCGACACGGTGGGTCCTGCCCGTCGACACGGTGGGTCCTGCCCGTCGACACGGTGGGTTCTGCCCGTCGACACGGTGGGTCCTGCCCGTCGACACGGTGGGTCCTGCCCGTCGACCATGTGGGTCCTGCCCGTCGACACGGTGGGTCCTGCCCGTCGACCATGTGGGTCCTGCCCGTCGACACGGTGGGTCCTGTCCGTCGACACGGTGGGTCCTGCTCGTCGACACGGTGGGTCCTGCTCGTCGACACGGTTGGTCCTGCCCGTCGACACGGTGGGTCCTGCCCGTCGACACCATTGGTCCTGTCCGTCGACACGGTGGGTCCTGTCCGTCGACACGGTGGGTCCTGCTCGTCGACACGGTGGGTCCTGCCCGTCGACACGGTGGGTCCTGTCCGTCGACACGGTTGGTCCTGCCCGTCGACACGGTGGGTCCTGCCCGTCGACACCATTGGTCCTGTCCGTCGACACGGTGGGTCCTGTCCGTCGACACGGTGGGTCCTGCTCGTCGACACGGTGGGTCCTGCCCGTCGACACGGTGAGTTGCGTGTTGGACGCGGTCGTGTTTGGGTGTGTTTTGAGTGAGCTCCCGCGGAGGTGGCCGGTGTCATGGCGGCGGCTGGAGGCGCACATGGCGTCTCTCGTACAACCATCGACGATACCTTAGAAGATGTTGGAAAACCATTACTGCATACCACAAAATTGAATCCTGAACGTCACCCGGTCATAGAAGAGGACCCCGAAGGAGAATTCATAGACAGCAAACACCATAGTAAGGCAAACAGACTGGAGGCAAAGCGCCGCCATTTATCAGAGGTAAACAGAAATGAGGCCGACGCCACGCGGCCTCAATATCCACACCCACCGCTCAACCAAGGTAGGCCAAGCTCTTCGGAGTTACAAACCTTTATCATTGCTTTTGAGGGCGAAAATGAGAATATTTTCCGAAATAGTAGGGCACAAAGCATCCTATATAATGCCATTCCCCACAAATTCGGAATCGACGTGCACGATATCAGACCAAACAAACTAAAGAACCTGATCGCAGTGGATCACAAACACAGCGCGGAACTGGAGATTTCAAACATTACTGACATCTGTGGTCACAAAGTTAGGTGCTATAAACCACTAGGAGACAGATTAGTGAAATATGTAATCCGGCATGTTGTAGACATCAGCGCAGAAGACATTAAGGCACAACTCGACACAAATGGCATCCCACTCTATGAAATAAAAAAATTTATGCGACGAACGAACGGAGAACTGAGTGATACAGGCACCGCCCTGCTTACTTTTCTGGACTACGTTCCCCCTGATAGGATTTGGTTAAACGGCTTCCTCCACAAACTAGAGGTGTATGTTCCGCGTCCCACCCAATGTTTTAAATGCAAGGGTTTTAACCATACCTCGAAGGGCTGCACTAAAGATATCAAATGTGGGAAATGCTCTGGTTCCCACTACACACAAACCTGTGCATCGGATACACTCACCTGCTCAAACTGTGGTGGCGAGCATGACATCACATTTAAACAATGTCCCTCTTACGTAGCAGCAGCAGCGAAAATGAAGGTTCCCCCTACCACCAACCTGCTATACAGCAGCGCATTAAAAAAACCTTCCTCAGCTCATCACCAACCTCTACCTCACACTCAACCACAACCTTCGCTTGTACCGGATATCCCTGTCTCCGACAATCCCGCAACCCCAGGGTCCAACCACCTCTCACAAAACGCGCAACTGAATCCTGATTTAGTTGAAACTCTCGTCACTCGCCTCGAAAATGATCTTATTGAAACGATCGTCACTCGCATCGAAAATGCACTGGAAAAGACCCTGGACCGACTCCTAACAAAATTTTTTGCCCAAGTACCACAACCCACCCCTGAGGCTGACCCAACAGACCCCCCATCAACAGTTACGGACACTGACATCCGCCCAAATAAAGCTACCAATGCTGGACACACATTGTTTGATCAGATGATGGAAAAACTCCTAATTACCTCCTTAGCGCGCCTCACCAAAACCACTCCCCAGGCTGACGTGCCACAAACCCCAACCACCAGTACCAAGAGTAAGACACAGCCCCCATCCACATCTAGGTATCCAACTCGTACCACTATGAGCGCACCAAAGAAAACAGACACATCCACAACCCAAACATCCTAAATGGCTCCCCTAACCTTCATGACTTGGAACGCAAAAAGCATCAAAACATCCCTCACAGAACTTAAACAATTCCTCTACTCATCCAAACCGGACTTAGCATTCATCACCGAATCCTGGCTCACTCCCAAACAAAATCCCGTATTTAAAAACTTTCAGATGCAGAGACTGGACAGACCCAACCGTATGGGGGGTGGTATTTTCCTTCTAACACGAAGTAATATGACATGTAAACCTGTAACACTAACGTATTTTGTGAACGGTAAATTAGAAGTTCTAGCATGCCTAATACCTTATAATGGTACACACATATCCTTTCTGGGTATATACAACCCTGGAGGCACCATAAACTCAAATGAACTGGAATTTTATCTTAACCAATTACGACACCCGATCATTGTTACAGGTGATCTCAATGCTAACCACCCCACATGGAGTAGAGGTACCCAAAATACTGCAGGCACCGATTTGTACAACTACTTGGACACTACACCATATACTCTTCTTTCGCCGCCCTACCTTGCAACCTACTTTAACTACAGAACCAATTATGAAGCCTCACTGGACATCTGCTTTGGCTCTGCACACTTTCAACATGAACTACAGTTTCATACTGGACCAGATATTGGTAGTGACCACAAACCCCTCATAATAAAATTTACTAACTTTCACCCACCAACCCACCCGCTTACGCTTCCCAAGTGGAACATAAAGTACCTAGACAAGAAAAAATGGGCTGATATTGTCCGCCTCCCAGACACAGATGAAGTAGACCCTAACAAGCGCCTGTCCACAATCACCTCGGCCATAAATTCTGCAGCCACCCAAATGCTTAAGAAAACTTCAGGACATAGGTCCAACAAACCACTTAAACCGTGGTGGAACGCGGAATGTGCACGAACAGTCGCTTTACGCCGACGAGCCATTCAAAAACAAAGACGTCAACCCTCCCTACAGAACTGGGTCAATCTCCGGCGGGCTACAGCAGCGGCCAAAAAAACCATACTATCAGCAAAACGAGCATCATGGGCAACATTCTGTGATAGCCTCACACCCACAACGCCGCACTCAAAAGTCTGGGCTACTTTTAACAGCATTAAAGGTCGCCCAACATTCCCTTCGTTCCCCCTGATGATCAACGGTTCACTCTGTCAAACACCTCAGGAGCGTGCAAGTGTTCTCGCTGAATGCCTTAAAGTTACCCTCTCAACACCCTTCCTTCATGCCCAAGAACTCTCTCTCAGAAAAGAAATTGACCGTGCCATACCGCTGCCCATGCTCGGCGTCGACAACGTGTACACCTTAAGCGAGCTACGATTGGCCTTAAACCGCCTACCTCTTGGCAAGGCACCTGGAGAGGATGGAATTCCATATGAGCTCATCAAATATCTTCCACCGACTGCACACAGCACTCTTCTAAACTATTACAATCTATGCTGGACTCACGGAAATATTCCTTCACAATGGCAGACCAGCATTATTCTTCCGTTCCTTAAACCAGGAAAAGACCCATCCCAACCTGCGTCATACAGACCTATCTCCCTACTATCATGCCTCAGTAAAGTCATGGAAAGGCTAGTACATACTCGCCTCCAATGGTACCTAGAGTATAACAATATTATACCTTCACTCCAAGCTGGATTTCGACCGCAATGCTCCACGCTAGATCAAATACTCTGCCTTGAACATGAAATCCGCACCTCTCTCAGAAGCAGTAAATATTGTCTTGTTGTCTACCTAGACCTCAAAGGAGCTTTTGATAGCATTCCTCATACTTGCCTCCTCGCAAAGCTTGCACGTTTAGGCGTACAGGGAAGATTACTTTTATGGTTACAGTCCTATCTCACAAACCGGACCTCCAAAGTCTTTATACAAGGCGAGTTTTCCGATGGCATCCCAATACAAACAGGTGTCCCACAAGGCTCCATACTAAGCCCAACCCTATTTGCCGCATTCTTAGCAGATTTGCCTAACACCCATCCTGTTCACCTCTCGGCGTACGCCGACGATTTAACATTGTATTATTCAGACAATGCCCTACCAAATACAGTCTCTACAATGCAAACAGCACTGGACCACCTCATAGATTGGACACAACAATGGGGCCTTCAAGTCAGTACTACCAAAACCTGCTATCAGATTTTCACTAAAAAAAGACTACTTCATCTACCCACCCTCACAATACACAACACTCCCATCCAACACGTACGAGAACATAAATATCTTGGCATGCGCTTAGACTCCCCCTTACTTACCTGGAAAGCACACATTCAACACCTTAAACAGACGACACAACCTCGACTCGCCATACTTAAAGCCCTCACTGGCACCACCTGGGGAGCACACCATAAAATCTTGCTCCGTTTCTATACAACCTACATTCGCAGCCAACTAGACTATTGTTGCCAGGCATATGCGTCGGCGGCGCCCACTAACCTACAGAGCCTCGAGGTCATACAAAATAATGCCATGCGACTTATATGTGGCGCAATGCGTTCAACTCCAATCCTCGGACTTTACGGGGAAACAGGCCTCACAAGCCTAACCACCAGACGAGACATTATGTGTGCCAACTATCTGTCACTCTGCACCACTGCTCACCAGACACACCCATACAGATCAAAAATTAACCCAACAGTTAACCCATATAACCCCCGCTCCCCAACCATTCACTCGCAACCTTTCCTCACACGGGCTACAAATAACCTCAATATAGACCTCTCCCTACTTCAAAACTGTGAAACCCAACCTCCTGTTCCCCCCATTCCACCTTGGCTTTATACAACTCCTAATACAGCAATACAACTCGAGGACAACATTCCAAAATCTGCACCAAACTCAGCCATAGCCTCAGTCTTTGTCTCAACAATGAAAAATTGCTACCCAAATACCACAGAGATTTACACAGATGGGTCTCGCATCTTCACGAACAACGTACCCTCGGTCACTTGCGCTGTATGGATACCGGAATACCATCTCAAGCAGGGATGGCGGTTACCAAACCAACTATCTATTTTCACAGCGGAATTATATGCCTTGTATCAAGCTCTCCAAATCATCACAACATTACCAGTTGGGATATATACAATCTGTAGTGACTCCAAGAGCGCGATTCAAGCAATTTCGTACTCTTCGAAAACATGCAAGGAGATTGTCTACCCATGCCTTCAACTTCTTCACAAACATCAATTGAACGGTTATGACACCTCTATCCAATGGGTCCCAGCACATTGTGGTATTCTCCATAATGAACTTGTAGACCAACTAGCCAAAGCAATGCACGACACGCCTCACCTCACCCGTCATCCAATTCCCCATGTTGCACGTAAAGGAGCCTTCAAAGATACCATCTCCCAGGATTTTGCAACAAACTGGAAAACGTTATGCTCACCTTTGCACTATGGGTCCATTAAAAAGAAATGGGAAACTTGGAAACATGTCCGATATA